CAACATTTTCATCCGTTTGGGAAGTTGACGGATGTCCAGAAAGAGGTTTGTCATCAATCGACATTTCACCTTTTTTGAAATGAGAAAACCACTCCTACACTTGCGTTTTTCCCGTAGCGTTGTTTGTTCTTGTAAACTGTGTTTAACATCATAACAGTTTCTGCAGCATTTTTTTGAAAGCAGGAAACAAAATTTCACAGCCGCACACTGTTCCCTTAGATTAGCCATCACAAAAAAATGAGGTTCAAGCAAAACTGCTTTTACAAAAAAAAAAATCACTGTGACTAGAGAGAAACTTCCCAGGCAATGCCACTGGGTACACTAACTCACAGGGCATTGCTTGATGCTTGCCTAGTGGGAAAAATGTGTACTCCTCCCAGCACAATTCTGGGTTTGTGGGTTGTTGTTGTTTTTTCAGGGGGAGGGCACCTCCTCGTATACCCAAAAGACTTTTTAAAAGCTATTTGAAAAAGAGACTTGCATGCCAGTATTCAATACGGTACTAGTCACTATAGAAAAAGATGAAAACAACCCAAAGTCTTTTCAACAGATGAATGGATAGACAAATGTTGGTGCATACATACAATGGAATACTACTCAGCCAAAAAGAGAAATAAAGTTTTAAAACACGATACAATGTGGATAGAGGTTGACAGCATTAAGTTGAGTGAAATAAATTAATCACAAATGGACAAATGTTGTATGATTTTACATAAATAGAAAGACAAGAAAAGGCAAATGTATATAGACTAAGGCTTATTAGTAGTTACCAGGGGCAGAAAGGAGGGTTGAAAGAAGGGGCTAACAGTGATGGAAAATCATATTCATTAAGAATAGGGTTGCCCAAATGATCTTGGATGTCAATAAGTTGTACATCTATAAAAAGTACATCTATAAATATATCTATTTATAATTTTAAAAGTAGCTCCTGAGACTGCAACCAAACATTTCATGGTACTTTGTTTGGAAGTTTAAGACCATGGTTTCATGGGACATCCCAGTTAAGTGGCCAATAACATGCTTTGTATTTCACTTCTACCTCCTAGTTGGCTAGGTGGTGCCTACAGTCTTAGAAACGTGCAAGCTGCAATTGGTTTGTATTCATGCAGAACAACAGAGGAACCAGAGTCAGGGCTAGAAGGACGTGGAAGGTGTTACTAATTGCCTCCACAAGCACTGTCTCCTTTGCTGTGAAACCAGAAGAACTGGATGATGCCCAACTCTTACTACTGAAAATGTGGATCAAGGATTCGATAGTAAAATCCTGACCAAAGGGGAGAGATGCAGAAGAGAATATAACATTTTCATAGACCCTGGACTTTCTGTAGCCATGGAGCATGCATGGACTCCTGAAAGTATTGCCCCAAGACCATCTATACATCTCAAACTGAAAGCCGTCTAAAGTCATCTTAAAAGGGGGTCACAGTTTAGCATAACTAGAATATTCATAATTAAGAATTGCCTCTCTAGGTTCAGGTCAGCCATGGAAACCTGGGAAGTGAGTTTAAGTGAACGGTGGAGTAATAACTGAGAAAAGGAAGGTGAGAATGAGGGCACAACTCAAAGAAGATAATGTCGCTAAAGTCTACATGTATTAACTGCTGACCCAGTGTCTGTTTTGCTGTATGTAGTCTCAGCAACAACAAAATATTAATATAACTCACGAAAAATCTAGATAGAGGGAACATAGGTATCATATTATTTTTATACTTTCCTGTATGTTTGAAACATTGCATTAATTAAAAGTAAAAATAGCTGTAAATATTAGAAGACTATATCCTACAAAATACAAACAAAACATGACTTTCCTTATACAGTTAGTGCAAAACAAAAATACTTGTTATATATTGGAAAACAAGTAAATGAAGCCAAGGAGCTAAATACATAATTACCCATAGCAGGTTACTAATGACTCGTTTTTTCCCCAAGGTCTTAAAACACATGCCTCTTCCTCTGATTTGGAGTTCGGTGGTTACAGTTTCCTCTACAGTCAAGGAATTAGCTATAAAATGTATGGGAAAGCATGAGACTGAGTCCAGTGATGACCGGAGGAGCAAAATGACTGAGTGTCAGGTCACCATACGGAATGACGTTATTACCTTTGGGAATTACTGTCTCCTCCCTATTCCCCTTCCGGCTAAGAAACATGGTTCAGCCTCCTCCTGAGAAGGAAGTCTTCTCTCAAAGGTGCTCTTCCTTTAACCAAGCTTACAAGATTGAGAAGTAAAATCAGAGCGTGAATAAATTATTTTACAACAAGGATTCTGCCACGGAAATCATATACTGACTTCCTGAAAGTTACATTGAGTGTCGAATTTTATTCACAAATTCGCATGATTAGCATAGCAAGCGTCAAGAGGAGTTCTTAGCTACCTCTGATGAACATTTTAATAGCATCAAACAAAAATAGCTAAATACATCCACTTCCATATCCAGAAAAAAGTTGCCAAAAGGAACAAAGTACTAAAGAACTCACTGCCTACTCACTTGGCAGTGCCGAATGACCACCACCAAAGATTACTCCCATAACACTCACATTGTTTGTTTTCATGGACTTTCGATCCATCTTTGACTTGAGACTCTCTTTCAGTAAGTGTACTTATAAAGTCCATTCAATCTTATGGCAGATCTTAGAGATCCTGGAGCAATTCTGACTTAGTGGCATTTGTTTAGTGGCATCCCTACCATATCAAGGAGCCCTGGTGGTGTTGTGGTTATTCCTTGAACTGCAATCGACATGGTAGGCAGTTCAAAACCACCAGCAGCTCTAAGGGAGCAAGACTGAGCTTTCTACTCCTGTAAATAGTTCGAGTCTTGGAAACTCACATGAGGTAGCTATGAGTCAGCACTGACTGGATGGCATCGAATTTGGTATTTGTTTGTTTGTTTGTTTTAGTGGCATTTGCAATCATTTCTCTTTCCATCATTTATTTACTAAAATTATCTTTCATTAGCATTCTTGTTTTCAAATTCTTGTAGAAATAGGCACATATCCTATAAAGTTCCACACTGGGAAGTAATGCACATTAAAAACTTTAGTCATTCTCTATCAGACAGATAGAGATGATAACTGATAAGACATAAAGAATCGGATATGTGCCCACTTGAGTCAGAACTGACTGGATGACACCACCTGCAGAATCAGCTCTATTAATTATCTGCCCACGAGCACACATAGAGCAAATATAGAGCAAGTGCCGCAGGCCACGCTACAGCAGACGGAAGAGATCTTTATGAGGACCCATGACATCAATTATGAAGTTGTGCCCCAGACATTCTAGTGCCTGTCACATACTAGACCCTCAATTACTTCTTACATATAAATCAAGAAAACCCTCACTTAAAAAACCAAACCCAGTACAAACCTAAAGCCCATGTTTTTAAATGAATCACTCTTGTCTCTTACTTTTTAGACCTAATCATCAGAGTCCCGGGAACTTTCTCCTACATACTCTCCTACACGGTCAGCTTGAGTTGCTTAGAAAAGTTGCCAAAATGCCATTGATCGCCTATCAGCCTGGACCGCCACCACCATTTCCATCACCAACTTATGCCATCAAGGCTCATTTTCTTATTATTCTTATGCCCACATGAACCCAAGAAAGGGCATGAGTTGCAATAAGCATGTCCCACTGAGTACACCAGTCACTTTTTTTTAATCATCATATTGGGGGCTCCTACAACTCTTATCACAATCCATACATCCATCCATTGTGTCAAGCACATTTGTACATTTGTTGCCATCATCATTCTCAAAACATTTTCTTTCTACTTAAGCCCTTGGTATCAGCTCCTCATTTTTTCCTCTCCTTCCGCCACCCTTCCTCCCTCACGAACCCTTGATAGTTTATAAATTATTATTTTTTCATGTCTTACACTGACCGATGTCTCCCTTCACCCACTTTTCTGTTGTCTGTCCCCCAGGGAGGAGTTATATGTATATCATTGTGATTGGTTCCCCTTTCTCCCTCCACCTTTCTCTTACCCTCCTGGTATCACTACTCTCATTATTGGTCCTGAGGGGTTTATCTGTCCTGGATTCCCTCTATTTCCAGCTTGTATCTGTACCAGTGTACATCCTCTGGTTTAGCCAGATTTGTAAAGTGGAATTGGGATCATGATGGGGGGAGGGGGCTGTTTCATTGGTGTTATAGTGCACCCTGATTGGCTCATCTCCTCCCCAAGACCCTTCTGTAAGGGGATGTCCAGTTGCCTACAGACGGGTTTTGGGTCTCCACTCTGCACTCCCCCTCATTCACAATGATATGATTTTTTGTTCTTTGATGTGTGATACCTGATCCCATTAATACCTCGTGATCACACAGGCTGGTTTGCTTCTTCCATGTGGGCTTTGTTGCTTCTCAGCTAGATGGCCACTTTTTATCTTCAAGCCTTTAAGACCCCAGATGCTATATCTTTTGATAGCTGGCACCATCACCTTTCTTCACATTTGCTTATGCACCCGCGTTGTCTTCAGTGATTGTGTTGAGTAGGTGAGCATCACGGAATGCCAGGTTAATAGAACAAAGTGTTCTTGCATTGAGGGAGTACATGAGTAGAAGCCCAATGTCCATCTGCTCCCTTAATACTAAACCTATAAATATATGTACATAGATCTATTTCCCCATCGTCATATATAAATATATTTACATATGCACCTGCCTGGACTTAGACCTCTATACATGCCATTTGCCTCCTAAGTCTTTCCTTTTACTTTCCTCTTGTCCCACTATCATGTTCAGCCTTCATTTGGGTTTCAGTAATGCCAGTCACTCTTAACGACAGGAGTGAATTAAGTCTCAGATAAGCCATCACAAATGCCCAGCAACATGTGTCAACCTGACCCTGATCTCTATTTAGGGGAACATGTGACACCTTGTTATTCAAAGGAGCCAACAAAGAGTGTTCCTAGTGAAGTCATAAAGTTCTAGAAGACATGACTCCCACTATTCTTCAGGTAAGACCCACCCAAGCATGAATGTGTGGTGTGTTTTACTCACTGTGTACTGGAACTTTTCATTGTATTCACGGTCATTGGCTTTCACTATCCGTTCCACTTCTGAAAAGAGAGAGAAAGCAGGTATGAAATTAAATTTCAGACCCACAGAAACGTATAACGCATTCAACTAACATCACTTAGAAGACTTAGATTGTCGTCAAGGTTGCTAGAATTCCTTCCTTTGAAATTTGAAGGGCCTGGGCTTTTTCCAGCCTACATGTTGGAACGGGGGCTGGAAAGTCCCACAATGGAAAGCTGAATTGTTTCTCATTGTCTTGCTGATGCCAACCATAAAGCAAAACAGTATGTGTCTCCACTCTCTGCATCCCTTTGGCTCCACAAAAACCCCTTCACTGAACTTCAACTTGGTCCTACAAGGGAAGGAGCAGCTGAAAGTCCAATGCCACCCTGGGAGTTATTTCTCTTTGCCATAAAATCACAAAACGTAATGTAAGCAAACAAAGCCAGGCGTGGCCAGGGAAGTCACAACAGTATGGTCATTAAGCCAAAGGACAATCTTTCTAAAGAAGCCAGGCAGGTGCCCAGAGTACAAATGATCAGGTTGTCCTTTCTCAGAAGTACCCAGAAAATTAAATCTTTCCTGAACACAAATGCAAATTGGACTAACAAATGATCAAATAAAAAGGAAAAAACAGAGTTTGATGATACATAAAGAAAAAAATTCCCAGTGATAGTGACGGTAGAGAAAAATATATTTGCAGCTGTCCAACAACAACAAAAATGTGCCAGGAGCACCAACAGTTTTGTTTGTTTCTTAGTAAGGTTAACAAGCTCTTTTTCTCCATTAACTGGATAGAGAGTTGACAAAGGGTTAAATGGTGGAATAGGGAAAACTATGGGAAGGAGATGAGCCAAGTGGGAAAGGAATCAGTAGTTGTCAACGATGGATGCCCCCAGCCCCCTTCCGTAGGGGACTTGACCACATCCCCCTGAGATTCCTTTAATCCTGTGGTTCTCTACCTGGATAAGAAACAGGTGGTAGAAGGTCTAGGGATTTGAACACGAGTTTGTGTCTAAAGAAGGCACAATCATAGTGATAAGGGATACTCCAACAAAACGCTCAGTCACTGAGTCCCTATAGGGAAGGGTAGAACTGCCCCTGTGGGTACCTGAGACGGTAACTCTACCGAGGAGAAAGCCTTGTCTTTCTCCAGCAGAGCAGCTGGTGGTTTCAAACTATTGCACTTCGCCGGCTGCATAACCACTACAGCACCAAGGCTGCAGTAAGGGACACCGGAGAGAGGACAGTAACTTGCAGGCATATGCTAGGGGTGGGATGGGGGAGAAAAAGAGGAAAGCAGAGAAGACCTGGAAGTAGACGGAAGATGGGGGACAAGAAGGAGGAAGTGGAGGCGGATATTTTAGCACCCACTCCCACCTGCCAGGCACCATGCATTAGACTTTTTCCCAAGAGGAACGCAATGTGTCTGCAGACCCTGTGGCTCATGGCCATATGTGATTGTTTCTGTCTTCAGCGATCACAGCAGCTTACTGATCACTGATGGGAGCAATACTGGGTGGGTGGCAACAGTTAACAACAACTGAGTGGCCTAGCCTCTAACGGGGACAGCCTTGCTACCCAGAACCCACCAGGAAGCAACCTCTCAACCAACCACCCACCTGAAGGAAACATTTATAAAACTGGCTATAAAAGTACCATCGCAAAAACAAAAAAAGTACAATCTCTTCTTTCTGACTAACTCCCCAACAAAAACCAGAAACATCAAATAAACAAACAAAAATGATCCTTTGAGAGCTAAGAAGACTTAAATACTTAAAAAGCAAGATTATTTATGCAACCACCCATTGGCCCAGGAGCAGTAAAACTGCTGCAGGAAGACAAAGGATGCTGTTGGGGAGAGAGGGGGTGCTCTCTTCTGTACTGTACAAACGCAAGCTGGACCACAGGCAAGCTTTATGGAACCTATAAACTTACTTAAGCTGCGAAGTCGATAATCAGAAATGTCATTTTGTGCATTCATTGACTTTAGAACTTGGGCACTCCAAGGATGACCATTTTTAATGTTCACGTTGGTAGAAAGTGCCCTCAAAGACAGCAGTCGATATTTGTATACTGTGTTTTGTGAGCGCTGATGGTTCCATGTTGGAATTCTAACCTCCCAGGTGGGAGACTCAGGTTCAACTCCCCGCCAATCTCCCTCACACACAGCCACCACTCACCTGCTAGCAGATGCTTGTGTGTTGTTATGAGGCTTGAACTGGTGTCCAGACTAAACTAGACTAGAAAGGACAACCTAGTGATGTACTTCCAAAAATCTGCCAATGAAAATCCTATGGACCACAGCGGTCCAATCTGCTACCGCCATCATGGAGACAGCGCAGGGCCAGGCATTCTGTTGTGCTTGGGGTCACCGTGAGTTGGGGTTGCCTCAATGGGAGCTAGTCTTGTTTTATTCACCCCCAAGCATCAAGAATCTTAATTCTTATCCATTAAATAGGAACTATTCTGCCCAGAGTATCCATGTAACTACACACCCCAAGAACTGAGAATAACCCTTTCCCAAGAGGTCAAAGGAGCCGTTTCTATGTTTAGGTCAATTGGGCTCCTGGGTATCCAAAGGTTCTTCTATCATAAGACCTGGTTAGAGTTTTGAAGTCCCGTGTTCCCTTCGGAACTCATATTAAGGTTTAACCTTTGCTTCTCCATTTCCTATAAGTATTGTCTTTCTGAACCGAGTCTTTATGGGTTAATTCTGGCAGGAAATTTTGATTTCTGTCATTCACCTCTGCAAAATTCTAGCCTCAGCACTAAATCCCTACAGCTCGTTTTCTGCCATTAACCTGCCTTATCGTTGCAGAAATCAGCATTTTTCCACATGTTATAACTTCATATGAGGAGATATATACCTCTTTTGGCTATAAAGGCACATCCTGCAAGGAGGGCGAGCTGAAAACAAATCCCCCATAAACATCTCCCAATGAGAACCATTCAGAGTTCAATGATTTAATGCCTGATATTTCATAGGCATCCTGGGATGCTTCCAGATGTTAGAGTAATGAAGGAAACTAATCACCAAGGGATTTATGATATACCAGTGTAGACTCAATCCTGCACCATTGTTATAATGAACTTTCCTGGTCAGTGACATTCAAGGATGTATAAAAATATAAACAGCAGAAAGAGACCAGGTTTCATCCCGATGTGCCAAGACGTGAATACAACATACCAGCATGTACCAGGGAAGCAATAGAGAGGTCCCAATCCCAACTATGTGTACCCCCCCACCCCCTCAAAAGAATGCACTCCAGAGGACAGCATTGGGGCTACGGCTTGGGGAGAGGGGTGCATCAGATTAGAGCACACGGGAGAAACGGAAAGGGATGGAGAGGGAGGAGAGGACATCCTGGCCCACCAAGCCCCGAGGATGATGTTCCTGTTCGTAGCAGACAACACACGGGGAGGACCATAGGGCTGGCCCCACCACGGGACACGGCATCCCTCACTGAACCATGATGCTGTGAGGGACAGCACTGGAGACACAGTGCAGGAACAATGCACAACCTGGCCCCATCACACTGGGAGGACGCACTGAGGGCATGCAGCAGAGCAGCAGGGGGAGCAGACTAATGAAACCCCCGGGAAATACCAAAAATAGACTTGGGAGACAGAGTATGGCACCCCATCACTCGACTGGAAAACACTTGTAAAGGCCAACAAACAAACCTTGAACTATTTATAGGCTTTTCCATTTTTTGTCAGTGGCTTTCTTTTTGTTATTGTTATTTTGTTCTTGCTCTCTACTGTTGTTATTGTTTTGTTGATTTTGACTTCCTTTGTTGTTTTATTTGGCTTTTCCTGGTTTTTGCACTTTTTAATGTATCTGTATGTCTATCTACATAAGATAGGCGGTATAAATAATTCAGAGATGAAAAGAATGGGACCAATGGTTCTGAGGGGGGTAGCAAGTTAATAGGAGAAGGGGAGGTTGGGGAAAGGAAGGTGGGGGTGGAGGGGGAACAACCCTAGGGACAAGGGAACAACAAGTGAACTAAAATCAATGGAAGGAAGGCCATAGGATGCCTAGTGGGGCTCAATCAAGGGCAATGTAACAATGAGGAATTACTAAACCCGAATGAAGGCCAAATATGATGGTGAGACAGGAAGGAAGTAAAAAGGAAATAGAGGAAAGAACCAGGAGGCATTTATAGAGGCCTAAATACAGGCATGTAAATATGTGTGTGTGTGTGTGTGTGTGTGTGTGTGTGTGTGTGTAGATAGAGAGAGAGAGAGAGAGAGAGAGGAATAGAACTATATACTCATAGCTACATGTTAATAATTAAGGTTGCATGTGGACATTGGGCCACAGCTCAAGCACTCCCTTAACACAAGAACACATTGTTCTAACAATTCAGCATTCTGTGATGCTCACCTTCCTGACACGGTTGCTGATGACAAAATGGGTGAATAAGCAAATGTGGTGAAAAAAGCTGATGGTGCCCAGCTATCAAAAGATATAGCATCTGGGGTCTTAAAGGCTTGAAGATAAAGAAATGGCCGTCTAGCTGAGAAACAACAAAGC